ACTACTTCTGATTTTTGTGTCACCATGTTCTTAAGTTTGACAATGTGAATTGTGAACTTTGGCGTGCACACATTTTCTCATTTTTGTAAGTCATATCATAATACTCAAAATTTGATATTGTCATGATTACTAGATGCTATAATTGCTACTGAAAGATTTAAATTTTCCAGTTGCTCGCAGCTTTTATCGTGTCATTCATTGCAGTGATGGCAGTTATTGGTTCTCATGGATACCTCCCCTTCAGTTTAGGTACGCCAGGGTTGGTAAGTTTTAAGTGGTTCTTATGCTCTTGACACTTTTCTGCAAAGCAATCATAATCTTCCTTGAATTTGATGTACTGATTCTATATGAACAGATTGGCTTGGCTCTCTCATATGCGGCTCCAATTGTATCTTTACTTGGAAGCTTCTTAACAAGTTTCACGGAAACAGAGAAAGAGATGGTTTCTATTGAGAGGATCTTACAGGTAACTAAATTAAAATACAATTCATAAAAAGTTTATCGCACAAGTTGAGAACTCCTTTTTACTCCCCATTCTAGTATATGGATGTTCCTCAAGAAGAAGATGTTGGAGGTCATCCGTTACATCCACAATGGCCCCATCAAGGAGAGATCAATTTTGTCAATGTGACTCTTAAGTACAAGCCACAACTGCCTCCTGCTTTGTGTGGTGTTTCTTTTGACATTGCTGGGGCAACACAGGTCTGTTTGTCTACTTTGAATATCTACCATGTCCTTTAGTTGCAAATCTGACACTTGCAAAATCACATGGCCTAAATCTATATAAGAAAGAGATGATGGTTGAAAATTAAGTTATTGTAATTTTCTTATTTTAAATAAAGACCTTTGCTTCAGGATATCTGTTGTTTGTTTACTTCTTATATCAACTCATCAGGCCAATTGTATAATTCCTTGTTTTCATTGCAATTAAAGTGAAAGTGTTTCACTGGAACTTTAGACAATCATAGTTAATCGGAACCTTGTGTGAAGATAAAGCTAATTCACTAACACTATTTGGTGCTTCCACTATCCAGATTTTCCAGTCATCAAGGGTTAGTGATGCTAATGATAGCTTTAGGAGACGTAATAGTTAACTGCGATGATGATCTAATTTGCACCATTTGCCTAGTTCATCATCCAGATTCTCCTATCCTTAAGATATCTTTAAAAAATTTAACTTTGCTATTGGAAAGTTTATTATACTTTTGTTGGCGTTTTTTGGAGAGCTCTCTAGCACTAGAACAATGTCCTGAGTCTTTTCCTTGAAGAATATCAAAATGATCAAAGGTGTCAAAGGCAAATTGTCAAGGCACAACCAGGAGGGATGGGATTCAAGTGATGTGATATTTTGTGTTTCTTTGCTTTAAGTGTTAGCTCCTCCAAACTCCAGTGATATTGAAGTTTAAGTTTGTCCTAGTATCTATCAGGTTGGTATAATTGGAAGAACAGGTGCAGGAAAATCAAGTATTTTGAACGCCATATTTCGGCTCTACCCAACATGTGGAGGATCTATCATGGTTGATGGCATAAACGTTGCTGGTGTTTCTGTCAGATATCTTCGCTCAAGATTCGCTGTTGTACCCCAGGCTTCTTTCTTGTTTGAAGGATCGATAAGGTAATTAATATAGACATGACATTACTTGCTACTTCTCTTGTGTCATATTGTCTTAGAACATTCCCTTCCTTTTTTCCTTACAGCATATGTGTATATTAATGATGATTGGTTGGCAATATGGCTTCCTTTACATGTCTGTGTAATATAAACATCTCAGGAAAAATCTAGATCCATTGCAAGAGAACATGGATTTTGAGATCTGGAATGCCCTAGAAAAATGCAACATCAAGGAGGAGGTAGAAGCAGTAGGTGGACTGGATGTTCAACTGAAAGGGTTTGGAACAGCATTCTCTGTTGGTCAAAAGCAGCTAATCTGCCTTGCACGTGCTCTCCTCAAGTCTTGTAAGGTAATATTGTAAATGGAGTTAGTGCGGAGGTGTGTACAAGAAATGGGAGAGTGCCAACAGTTTACATTTTTTCTGCAGGTACTTTGCTTGGATGAATGTACGGCAAATGTGGATACTGAAACAACTTCAAAACTACAGAAAACTCTAGCCACTGAATGCCAGGGAACAACGGTTATCACAATTGCCCATCGCATTTCCACAGTTTTGAACATGGANACAATTGCCCATCGCATTTCCACAGTTTTGAACGTGGACAATATCCTGATTTTGGATAGAGGGTTTCTGGTAAACTTACTGTCTTGACAAGCTTACCTCCTTTAAACTATGTCTAGACATCGAATGAAATATAACACAACTAGCTGACTAGTAAGTTTTTTATTTTTTGAAAAGGTAAAATTTTATTAATATGCAGTATCAAGAGAATAATGCAGCAGAATAAAAAAAACACTACACTTGGTACATCAGATCTCTATAAAATCTAACAAGTCTAGCACATCCTGAAAATTATAAACACAGTTTCCACTCCTCCAATAGTACAAATTTTGAATGCATCTAAATTTCAGAACTTGAAGTTGCTCCTTTTTGCCATCAAAACATCTCCTATTTGTCTCCATCCAAATTGTCCATGCAATGCATAATGGGATGGCAATCCAGACCTTTTTCTTACACTTCCCAGCATAGATTGATCTCCAGCATCCTAAAAAATCTCTGAACTTCTAGGGCATCACACCTTGAACACGAAAAATAGCTATAAACATGGTCCAAATCTGCCAGGTATAATATTGACAATGCAGAAAAAGATGATCAACTGATTCACATGAGCTCTCACATAGATAGCATATGCTACAAATAATAAATCCTCTCCTCCTCAAATTGTCTTGACTCAGGCATGCTTCTTGTGCCACCATCCATCCAAAGCAGGCCACTTTAGTTGAGAAAACGTCTTCCAGATCAGCTTCCAAGGCCAATTAGTTCTCAGCTCTGAATCATATTTTATGAGTTCTCTGTAGTAAGATTTCACGGTGAACATTCCAACATATTGCATATTCCTTCCCCTGACGTATTTAAGTCTCCTCAGATTAATTATTTTGTATTATACTTATCTGGAAAGTAGGGCAACACAATGGTCAGAGACATTATCCTTAACTTAATTCTGCCTCATCATTTATTTTTGGTTTTGTTGCCATTCATTTATTATGTTTTACTTGCATTACCTACATCTTTAAGGCTGCTGATATGAACCACCAAACAAGTGTTGGCATTCAATTTAGTGCGCATACTGTATGTTGATCTGTCAACTGATGAACATTCTTCAATTGTTAAATTGCTTTCATGGTGTTAGGCTATATTAAAGATGGAAATGTCATCCAAAATGAGATTGATCCAGATTCTCATCTTTCCTTTTTTCGTTTCCAGGTTGAACAGGGTAACCCGCGGATTCTTCTAGAAGATCAGTCATCCATATTTTTCAGCTTCGCCAAAGCTTCAAATGTGTGATGCATCTCCGATGATGACTTAGGTTTTAGAAAACTAGTTCGGCGACTGGAAGATGTTGCATAGTAGAGCAACTATCCACCTTCAAACTTACTCTTGTTTTAGTTCTAATGGTTGCTAAAGTATTAATGTAGGCTGAACCAAATCTTCAAGCGTGAAGTTGTTGTACAATAAAACCATTATCTTAGCTCAAAAAGCTGCTGGAAAAAAGAATGGTAGATGTGCAAGGGTTTAACTTCTATGGACTTGTGGGAATATTTATGCATGATAAGTGCCATTAAGATGTTATTGTTCACATTTTGGTAAAACTACCTTTGAGTAAAAATGAAATGATACCAAACTCCAAACTTTAAGATCGTCGAATAAGCATATGCTTTGCACAATTCTCATACAAACCTTTTAGAGTAATTGGAAGGAATTATGCTACTACAGTTGTGGTTAAGCAATATATAATGCACAGACCAAACCAAAGAATATGGATATCCTGATCTTTTAATTACCATAAATGATAAAGGTTGCCCAACTTGAACAACATGGAATGGTATAGCATATAGTCTCTATTAAAATTTTCCTTTTGAAGGAAAAAAGATATATGGTTTTTTTCCCTACATGCTTTTTGTTGGTGACTGACCAACAAATGGAGATATAAAGTTGGACTAATCTCCAATCTTAGTCATGACCATCCTCATCTTATAGCGGACTTACACGCAAAGTTAAATAGAAAAGAAAGTCCAAACTTTGAGCTTTTTTTATGTGCCTGGAGCTGAGGGAAATAGAAATTCAAGATTAGCGTGCCTTAGCTATTCTTAGTGGCAGAAGAATACAGTCAGATCTTTCTATAATTTTATATTATAATATATATTTTCTACAACAGTGCTCACTATAACATCAAAAAATATTCGGAACAAACAAGACTGTTATAGAGAGGTTTGACTGTAGTACAGAAAATTTATAGTACTATTATATAGTTTGTTAACATGTAAATTTTATTTTTAAAGTTATGAAAATTTGGTTCCCGGATTGATATTAAATACTTTTTACACTTACACTTGAAAATGTAGATGGAGGAAAATTATTCAACTATTGTGTTGTTCTTCCATCATTAGAAGCCTTTGTTGTCACTGTTCCCTAAAGGGTAAAGCATAAAGCTAAAGGCAAATGCTTACTCGTGCATTTTTCGGTGAATACGACTAGACAATGATTTTACACCGGCCCAAAAAGTTAGTTAACATTAAACGAAAAAGAGAATTTTGAAGACAAACAATGAAAGCATTACTATGAATAGTAGCTAGCAAGAAAATAAAGCAGTATTCTCTTTGCTCTTTAGACTGTTTACCTTATTGTTGTTGAAAATTGTCCCATCAATCCTCCACCAGGCACAGGCATGCCATGTTCTTTTGCTTGCTCCCTGATAAGTGCTATGCACAAGAAAGCAATTGTGAGTTTACAACCATTATCATATGAAATGAACGGCGGCCCGGTGCATTAAACTCCCGTTATGCGCAGTGTCTGGGAAAGGGTCCGACCATAGGATTCTATTGTATGCAGTCTTACCCTGCATTTTTACAAGAGGCTATTTCCACGGCTTGAACCCGAGCGGATTTAGGGGGGCGGAAGGGGTTCACCCGAACTCACCCCCTTCGCCGAAAAATTACACTGTATATATAAAGCAAAATTTATTTTTTACCTCTAGATATTATATTTTGAATCCCCTTGAACTTAGTGGTCGAGGGGCCGGATTCAAAACCTTTGTGAGGTCATTGGTTCAAAACCATTCGCTATAATATTTTTTCCATTTTTTTTTTAACCCCTTAAACGAAAATTCTGCCTCCGCCACTGTTGGTCACATGCTTGTTTCCACGGCATGAAATGAAGCTTTTGCGCAAAACAGTCTTAGAATTACGCCTCAAAGAATCTCTATCGTGGTTTATAGTTAGATATAAATATTTGATCCGAGTTAGTATTTATCGATCTTTATCATTTGTGTCTCCGCCGCTGATGTGTTTGATTTTGCCATTGTGCCTACTACTACATGTGCGTCTTCACGAAGGAAAGGAATAGAGCCAAAGCTTCTGTGGGCAAAGTTGGACCAATTCTAGATAACACAACCTAATATTTTTAGTTTCCACAAAATAAACATACTTTCTTTCTTGATGATAATATAATGGATTTACTAAGTATATAATACATACTGATAATGTGACTAATCAAGTCAAATCAGTATAATAATAAAGTTGCTTTGCTTGAAAAGCAAATTAAAGAAAGTAGAAGTGGGATAGAGACGTGATCATAGACAAATTAGACAATAAGATAAGGAGACAAAGCATCTCCATCCATTCGGTTGCCATATG